ATGAAGTTTGCATAATAGGAATTAGTAACGATATGTGATAATAAATTTATTTATGCCTCACTAAGTTATTGACTTAGCGTGTGAGTGTTTCACACGTAGGTTCCGGAAAGCGAGAAGATAAGCTAAGAGGAGCAAGACATGTCAGATTCTCCTTTCTACAGATCAGATCATAAATGTATTTGAGTATATGTATTTTGTTATATACAATGTAGTTAGCATGTAGTCTAGCGATTTGAATTGTATAATCTCTGATATGTTTTGTAAACCAATTGATTTTAATTAATGTAAAATATTTATTTTATCGAATTATGAATTTAAGTTTTAACCAATTTGCAAAGGAAAACGCTTTGAAAAGTCAATGTGATATCTTGGACTCAGATCCGGGTCAGATACGGGTTAGGGTGTTACATTTATTGGTATCATAGCTAAGGTTTAACCGATTCTAGGCTTAAACCGAAGTTAAATGAGTTTTAAAATATGTACATACCAACCCAAAGTGAAAAATTTCTGATCTGATAGTGTACTGGGTATGTTGTCTTGCTAATAGAATAGAAAAGTTATGTTATATGAAATGTCTAGCCCTAAGAATTTCTGAAAAAAATTGAGAGTTGATGAACCTGATGGTGGTAGCCATTCACCTGCCCTGGCCAGGCAGGATGAAAAGCAAACATCTTAGGAAGTGCCCTATAAGATCGAAGGTTATTTTCGGAAAGTTGAAAACACGTTAGAATAGCGTTAGAGGGTCTTTACTATTTTGAATCGAAAAAAGTTATATGAAGTAGTTTTGTTATTACGTGGATAAGATAGAATATGGTGGACAAATATCACCATAAAATGTTAAAAGATCAAAGGATGTGGTTAGAATTTATAGAAGAGTCAGGGACAAATGTATAAGACAAGTGAAAGTAGAGTTTATAAGTTTGAAACAAGGGAATTTCACTTAATATGACTTCGAGTGCAAATTCAATAGGTTAAGCAAATTTCCAGTGAGTTACTTCGATTGAAAAGGGGTATACGATTGGTTTGATGAGGACTTGCACTATAGATAGAAAGAATTGGTGTTGATAAATGAAGATATATGATAGTAAATATATAAAGTTAGAAGATTTGAAGAAATTATCAGGTTGAGCTAATCAATTATGGTGTGGATTTGGATACGGTTGTATATTTTGATCATATGAATGTAATGTAATAAAGAAGATAAGGATTCGTATGTTTGAAGGAAGTTAAGGATTGATAGAAAGAATTTAAGATGATAAAAAGTAATATGTGTATTGTAAAGGGAATAAGGATTTTGTATAATAACAAGATTTTGTGCAATTCATGTGGATTATAAGAGTTATAAAGATGTGATAAAGATGGGTAATCAGATATAAGTATAAGTGATATGAAAAGAGTATGAGAGCATGGAGGAAATATATGGTTTAGTTATGTTGGAGATCTTGATTATCAAAGGATAAATGGATAAAGAAATGAAAAAGATGGAGTTTAAAGGATCCAATATGATAAAGGTTATGTTAAGGTATAGATCATAAGTTGATTAGAAGTAAGAAAGGTTTGTCAGGTGATGTGAAAGATTGTTTAATTCTGCAAAATGTATGTCTTAATCATCTATGATGAATATTTAAGATTATGTTTCTTGTTCAAGTAGATGTAGTCAGAGAAATAAAGAATGATTTATATGTATTAAGGAAGTTTAAGATGCAGTTAAGTGATGATAGAATAAAATTTTGGTTATTATTGCAATGCAATTAGAGATTGATAAGGATTTTGATTGATTTATGATTTTGAGTGATAAAAACTGATGTTACTGTTTATATGATAAGTGATATTAGATGGATGTATAAAGGGAAAAGGTAATTGAAGAAATAAAGGAATGAAAAGCAAGTTTTATGATGGTGACAAGAAAGATTAAGTAAAACAAGCAACATGAGAACATTAGAAGATATGTTCTTATTGATGTGTGCAGTGAAAATTCAAGGACGGATTTTCTTTAAAGGATGAGAGATTTATAACATCTTAAAATCAGGGCTAGTGACTAAAATGGAAGTTTTGAACTTTGAGGTCAGATTTTGAAAAATTAAAAAGTTCAGGGACTTAATTGAGAATATTTTATGAAGGATGGTTTAGTAAATATTGAATGAAATAAAGGTAAATTGGTCTTTTCAAAGGAATTCTTTTTATATTTCCTATATAAAGGATATTACCACGTGGAAATGGGGGAAAGAAAGAGTAAATGATATCCAGAGCATTCTTCAGTCTTCTTCTTCTTCTCTACCGTGGGGTCTTGCATAAGATAAGTATGTTTTTCAGTGATTTTCCTTTGATGTTAAGGTTGGTTTTGATTCTTAGAGTGATAAGAAAAGTTAAGGAACGCTCAAGATTGCTTAAAACTCAAAGAGGATTAAGTTATGTAAGATTGAAGATAAAGAGTTTTTAAAGGAATTATTGAGATAGAGTTAGTAAATAGGTTTGGGAGTGAAATTTGACTTGTCAAGGGTGTAATTAAGAAGTTAGAAGTGATATAAGTGAATTAAAAACATGTTGGAAATTTGGTAAGATTTTTAGTTTTAAGAATTATGATGAGTTATTGAATGATAATGTGTTATATGGATATAAGAAGATTTGGATAAGTATAGTTAAGTCTCAAGGGTTAAAAGGAGGTTATGGAAGAAGAATTATGTGAGTTTGGTAAGATTTTCGGGTTAAAGAAGTGTATTTTGGGCTAGAGGTATCGGTAATGTTCATTCAGTACCGATACTTCAAAGAGAAAATAAGTGATTATTAAGGTATGTGTATCGATACTGGTTGAATGGGTATCGATGCCATAAGGCAAAAATTTATAAATTGTTCATGGGGTATCGATACCTGGGAAGATAGTATCGATACCAAGAGTATCGATACCATAAGGTCAATATCGGTATCCATTTTTGAAATAAAGATTTCGAATATAAATATGGTATCGATACCCAAGCTTGGTATCGATACCATATCTAAGGAAGTATCAGTACCAAGTATGGGGGTACCGATACTACTCAAAGTGAAAATTGTATTAAGCATTTCGATTAGCTTGAATTATTAAGGATCGAATTATAACATTTAGAATTCTGATATGGATATCAAATGTATGACTGTGTAGATATTGATCGGAAGCGAGTATTTGATGAATCAACAAAATAAGATCGAGCGAGGAAGAAGTACGAGATCAATATTGATTAGTGAGGCCAGGTGAGTGCATACTAGTATGAATTATGATTTGATGGGAAATTAGACTTGCGATAAGTCTGTTTTCGATATTTTGCATATATAATTGTATTGTGTGAACATGACTTGTATTTTTTATATGTTATGTGATTTATGTGGCTGTAAGTGCATAAAACCTAAGCTATATGATATAAGATTATGTACCGATGTAATAATATGAGAATGTTATATGAGATATATGAGAAAATGTATGTGAAAGTGATAATGTGATATGAGACTATGAGAATATTACATGAGATATGTGATTATAAATGAAATGATATGAGCTATGTGATATATGTGACATGTGACATGTGAATTATATGAAAATGATCTACGTGTAAGTGAACTACGTGACTATGTGAATATGTGATAAATACGAAAGATAATGCCCATGTTATGTGTCATAAAAGCTAGAGGTATAGTTGGCATGTCGAGGGTTCTAAGTGGTCTGTCGGGACATATGTGTTATATGTGGTCCTTCGGGACATTTCTACGCGATCCTTCGGGACAAATTCACATGCCCCTAGTGGGACCTTATACGAGTAGTGGTGACAGCATATGTGCACAACCTCTATGTACTCACATATTTTTAGTTCTCACATGTGTACATGTGCTAATAAAGAGATAATAACAAATATATTATATGTGATATGTATGTTTTGTGATATGAAATGTGTTACAGAAATTACATGATGATGTGTATATGGTTTGTTTAAGAATGTTAGGTATAAGAACATATGACTAAGAGATAAGAATGGAAATGATGCTAATAATGATAAGAATAATAATAAGGATAATGAGATGACATGTATATGTATGTATTTATGTTTTGATGTATAATGCATTATATAGTTTATTATGATTACAGGAAGTGTGCATAGTAGGAATTAGTAATGATATGTTATAATATGTTTATTTATGTCTCACTAAGTCATCGACTTAGTGTGTGAGTGTTTCACACGTAGGTTCCGGAAAGCAAGAAGAGAAGCTAAGAGGAGCAAGACATGTCAGATTCTCCTTTCCACAGATCAGATCAGAAACGTATTTGAGTATGTGTATTTTTGTTATATACAATGTAGTTAGCATGTAGTCTAACGATTTGAATTGTATAAGCTCTGATATGTTTTGTAAACCAATTGATTTTAATTAATGTAAAATATTTATTTTCTCGAATTATGAATTTAAGTTTTAACCAATTTGTAAATGAAAACGCTTTGAAAAGTCAATGTGACATCTTAGACTCTGATCCAAGTCGGATACGGGTTAGGGTGTTACACTAATACTTTGTTACCTTTAAGTCCCCTCTCATTCTGTAAATTATGTTTTAGGGTAACTAATGATTTGAATCTTTAGTTGGCTAGTTGATAACTGCTTCATACATGATTATTATAGTTCAAGCATCCTTATCAGGTTAGGTTTCGTAGTACATTATCTTATGTTGATTATGTATATTGTCATTAGGCTAGAGTGTCGACTAGGTAGCCTGTGGTTTTAGTCGCTTTCTCGGGTGAATGGGCTGCTAAATCAGCCCAAAATTATTAAGCAAGATCGCTTAGAATAATGCGGAAACAAAAGAAAATAAAGAGAAGAGCACACAAAGGAAAAATGAGAGAGCTTGAATGAATGCAAACTTATATTCCTCAACCTAAAGTGAAACTGAGGTAAGGGTGAGTCTCTATCTATACTTAAAGCCCCTTACATCCAACGGTCAAGATTAGAGTATATCTTATCTACAAAGATTAATCTTTTCTCTATTTCAAATTCAAACTACAGAGGAAGTGTAGCAGATACTTTAGTGACCTGAACACAATGTTCGACTAGATGAAAATCCTAAAGGAGTGAATGAAGCATTTTTGCATGAGATGTGGGTAACCGGATCAGTAGGCGCTTTAACCAACACTGTCAAGGTAATGTAGAGTAGGCGCATAAACCAACACTGACCTAGCAAACTACATTACCGCACTGAAGCTCATTCCAATTTGTTTGTAGTTCATTCCAAGTAAACTACACTTATCAAGGCCATCTTGTGTTACCCAGTAAGGGTCCTGAAGAGGAAATATGCAAATCAAGATTGAAACAGCCTGTACACTTCCTGAGGACAACTTCAATTGAAAGTGTATAGAAAGATTCAGATCTGTTTAGAAAAGTCTAGATCAAACATTATCCGGCCAAAATTCCCTAAAAAATGCACGTTCGAATTCTTTTTCTTGCATTTGATTTTCCTGTTCTTGCATCTTCCGCAACATTTTGGAAAGTGCCTTGGTCTTCTTTCTTGATGTTTGTTCCTGAAATTCATAGCAATTATGAGTTAACCAGCAACTCCATACATTCTGAGCCATCAAAACGTTAATATCTATTTCAACACCACTGCCATTATAGAGAATTGCTTATTTCATAGCAAGCAATGGTATTTTTCAACACTAATCATATCTCATTTTGTTATGTAGTATATCATATTTACTGTTTTTCTCGTATGAACATAAACATAAGATATAAGAAATGTATCAAAAATCTTAAACACAAGTATAATATGTGTATTAAATTTATCGAGTTACTCAATTTCAATATGGCGTAGTGTTTGTTGTTGGTAACTTGTTAGCAGAAAACATTACTGCAGCATCAACATAAAATAATTTTCTCACGCGAGATAATATTTAACAATATTAATGTAGTTCAGCTTCAGATGCCTACAACCATGAATTGAGATAAAAATCATCATAGTCATAGATTTACAAAGAGTTCAAAACAATCAATAGACAAACACGAAACCGAGCCCCAAACAAACCCAATTTCTATGCTCCAAATGATTATCACATAGAACATCCCATTAACCGATGTTTTACCAAAAACTTTTTCTCACATTCATGAAAAACATCTCCCATACATAGACCCATAAGAATTCTCTCTCATAATTCTAAAGCTATGACTTACTCCATATTAATAAAGCCTATCACTTGATTACCAAAAAATCTTATTCCCTAAAATGTCTTACCCGCTATGAATAAATAGATATTAAGTAAACTTAATCTCTAATTAATCTTCAATTAATAAAATTACACTAGAATCTGAGCTGATTTTAGAATTTACATAAATATCTAACATATATTGCACACTTTTTATGAATGTATATATATATATATTATTTGTATCAAATTCAAAATTTCGAATTTCTCCATTTAGCCTTTAGCAACTAGGGGTGAGCAAAACTCAACTCAAAAAGTCAATATTTCGACTCGAAAAAAAAACCGACTTAAATTGACTTCAAGTTGTAATTTCATAAACTCGATTCAAAAAAATTTCAAATTTGAGTTGAGTTATAAAATATAATTCAAATAAGTTGAATTTTTAGTAATTAGTGGATTGGATTTCAAGTTTCAGTCGAGTCCCTCGACTATGTATGATATATGTATATCACATATGAAGAAACATATATGTATTGTATATGATTTTTAAAAACCATTTAAATTGGAATCAAATAGTATCATAATATTATAAATATTTACAATCAAATTTAAACAGAAACTCGAACAACTCAACTCGACTCGAAAAATTTCAAATAAAGTTTGAGTTGTAAAATAGGACTCGTTAACTAGAACAACTTAAAAAAATTTACTCAACTCGATCGACCGCTCACCCCGATTAGCAGCTAGTGGGGGAAACATATAGTATATATTGCACTAGCTCTATGTTCTTCTAAAAATTCTCATATTTCACACACATTATTAAGACAAAAATGCGAGGTATCATAAGCAAACCCAGGGATCATGCAGGGGCCCTTGATTCCTTTAAACAATTAAATATAATAGTTATGGCTTGTTAAAAATCCGATAAAATTGCATTTTGACTCCAAAAATATATAATTCAATCTCGGACCTACAATGTATGATCCTACAAATATATGAACTAACTTACAAAAAAAATTGAGCACACCCATGTTGGACACATACTCAATTTAACCCTACAACTAGGATAGCTTATAGTGGTAGTAAAAGAATGAAAGTTACCTCATCATTTATGGCTTTGGATTCGGCACGATCAGCAAGATTTGGTGTTTTTCTCTTCTTCTCTGCTCCCAGGCCCTTTTTATTGTTCTTCACATGTGCTTCTACAGGTTCTAACCTACCCTAATAGCATGAAATTAAATAATCCAGAAATAAGATGAAAACAATATTATAAAAGCATTTCTTCTTAGAATTAAGGAGAAGAATTTAGGGTTTCGAAGAAGAACCGAACCTGCTCAGAAACACCAAGACCAGTGCCTTCTTTCCATCCATGCTTCTTTAATAGCTGCCAAAAACCAAGTCCATAGCCATTAAAACACGAATATATAAGGAAAAAGTTGCAATAAAAACCCCCAGAGTTGAAAGAGAGGAGAAAGGTAGGATACCTGGAAGCCGATGTTGGAGGAATCAATGGCGGTTGATGAACCGCTCGAACCTAACGTCTCTCCCATCGCTTTCCTCCCGGACCAGTAATTTCAGCAAGTTGGGGTTTTCCCTTTCCTCCCATTTTTCTTCCCAATTCTGTCCGACGTTGAGAATTTTGTAGGCTTTCGAAGAAGAAGAAGAAGAATATACCGATTCAACAATTTCTATTTTTTTTCAAAAAACAAAAATCGAATGAATAATTTTTATTTTTGTTGTGTGTTTGTTTTGTGGATATAGACCAACCCACAAGCCGGAGTTCACTTAACAATAAGAATTTTTGCAGCTTCCAGGTAAATAAAAGCCCATCGGCCCAAGCACATAATTTTTATTATTCAAAATTTAATAAAAATAAATTTAAAATAATAAAGAAATTAGGATTACGAAAATTAAAAGGGTAAAATATACCATTCTTCATTAACTTTACTCTCTCTTCTATTTCACTCACTGTACTTTTAAATTTTCTAATTTACTCATTGAACTTTCGAATTACTCCTGTTTTGGTCACTCTGATCTGAATTATTTTAGTATTATTTTCGTACGAATAAGAGGCATAGTAGACGAGGGCTTTTAGCAATTTCTGTCCAGGGGGTATTGCACATGTTATGCATAGAGCTTGTGTTCACTATTTCTGGAGTATATGTATTTTGCATGTATATTACTCTTTCCATCTCGATTGTAACTTCAAATAATCATCAATCAATTAGTAAAGGGTGTATTAGCAACCAAACAACAAAGAATGCCCCACTTGTTCCTCAAATAACCTACTAACAGATAACAAATTTGTATTCCTCCTCTAAACACGATTGAAGAATTGAGGATCATGTATATGGAGCAACATACACTTTTTACATTTCCAGGACTGATGCTTCTCCCTCCTTTAATCAAGCTGATGGAAACAGAGGACAAATATTCATGACTGTAAGCCGCCTAGTCTCTGGGAGATTGCCTGTTGAAGATACTTGAAAGCTTTCTTGTAATTCAAGAAACCCATGAACCAGAAATCGAAACCATCGACTGTCACGATTTCCATGTACTTCTGCCTTGGTTTCTTCATGTTTTCACTCTCGTTCATCCCCTTTATCTTCCCAAGTGGAATCAAAACCTTGTAATGTACTCTGATAAATTCTCCATTTGGGGAAGATATTTTAATGGATCTATCGCTGCAAAAGGCCACCTTTGCAGTGGAGATGAAAAGAAGGCCTGCAATAGGACCTGCTGTTGTCGACAAATAGCATTGACAGGCCTTAACCAGTTTCTCTCCTTCTCCGACACTAAATAATTGTTTGAAAATCTTCTCCACTCCTCCCACTTGAAGAATTCTTGCCCCCAAACTCAATTTTCCCTTCACTGTTTCACTAATCTTTGTCCCCAATCTCACTGCAGTTTCAAAAGTAACAAGCAAATAACTTTAGCCTCCTTTCTTCCATAATGTGAATGTTAAATACAGTTAACCATAGAGCTGGCATAAGAGTGTTCCTTACCATGCTCTCGGATACCATGAGCGAAACTATCAGCTTTCTTCCCTAGCTTGTTCATCCTTTTAAGTACAAAGTTCCCTTTGCCTGCAATTCCGAAACTTGCACATTAGCACTGAAAGCATCTCCATTATGAATTTTTCTCCATACAATGTTACAAGAAAAACTTACTTGTTCTAAATGTTGCAGACCCTTGGGGATCAGGTAAGTACCGTCTCGGGGTTCTCTCGACTCGATATACGGTCGATTTTATTGGAACTCCGATAACTTGTTCAAGTAACTGATTCCTCATTTTCATTGAATGAAATTGAATCCTGTTGGATGAATGTTATATTATCAAGGAGATGATGGGTTGTGATGATGGAAGAATGTTGCAGATTGGGAAATGGTATTTAAAGGGGACATAAATGGGGTGGTTGAATGATGTAACTTTACTGATGAGAAGATTTGGTTTCTTTAAGAAAAAGAAAGCCGAGTCCAACTCCAAGAATTGATCTTTAACTAAATACCTAACCAAAATCCCCATATTTTGATTTAAATTGCCGACAGAAACAGACATGGAGAGGACGTGGGTTTGAAACTTTGTGAGTTGGCATTGCACCTTTCTGATGTCTACTGCTAAGATAAAGGGAGCATCCATTTGCCAACCAAATTGCACACCCAAAAGTTAAATGATATGATAAATGCAGTGACTTGATTATGAGTCAGTGATGCTTCATTTTCTTAGACAAGTCATACATAGACCATGTGGGATCAACTATCATACCTCATCTACACGTGGCATACAAAATTTGGGTTATTTATTTTTCAGTTTTGTTTTGAATTTGAGATGATATTTTAAACAATTTTATGATCATTTCAATGTAACTTTTTATTTTTGAGGCATGGTTTTTCAGGTTCAAAATTGTTTAAAGATGGTGATTTGAAATTTCAAGTAGTTGAAAATGGTTTAAAATTTCCAAAATCTACAATTCATACAATTTCTTGCCTTTTTTTTTGTTTAATGTCGGGGATCGTCGTTAAGATTAGGGGTGTAAATGAATCGGGTTACAATGAATATGGTTGTATTTGTGTTTGTTTATTTGTTTTGTATTCGTGTTCAACCCGTTTAACATTTGTAAACATGAACATGTTCATTTATATATTCGTCATTCACCATTCACCAACATGTTCGCTTACGTTCACGAACATTTTGGTGAAATTGTACAACTAGTCCTTAAACTCATTAGGCTTCATAGTTTAAACTTCAAAGTTCATCTTGTGCTCAATTTAATCGTTACCTTCATCAATGTAAAAAATTAAAAAGAAAAAAGAGGACAAGGTAAATCCGCAAATGAGATTATAAACTAGCTTATTCGTGAATATAAACAAAACGAATAAACCTTTGTTCGTGTTTGTTCTTTTGTTAAATGAATATAAACTATTAAATAACGCTCTTTTCGTTTACCCCTAGCCAAGATCTTCATTATCAGTCAAAAGCTGACATGAGCGGAAAGCGAAATTGAGAAATTTGCAAATGTGACGAAGTGATCCATGTGCTTACCTGGAATACACTCTTTTTTCTTTCCTTTTTAAACCATCAAATTGGAAATGAATGGACAGTAGGACCATGCTGATTAAAGATTGCCTCTCGCCTACTTTCCAATGTCCCAAATCAGCAGGATCAAGACTTTGTTTTGTTAGCGAAAGCTTTTGCTTAACATTAAAGAAACACAATAATGAAACAATCCAACGCCGGTTTTGCCATCTTCAAAAATCACATACAATATGACAAGTATATTGTTCGTTGCAAAAATAACTCCCACGTGATGCCATTATGAGTGTTGAGCATATTCTAGAAGTTGCCAACTCAGCATAGTTGGTTATCCAGCTCAGCATGATTAGTTACTAGACTTAACAAACTTAACAAACTCACAAACTCAGCTGCTAATGCTAATCTGTTTCAACATGCTGTATATATATACAATGTAGTGCATTATGAAAAAAAATAATATGGAATAACACTTCTTGAATTACTTCAATACTTTGTTTTTACAACATGGTATCTTTCGCCATTGATCTTGGAGGCTTCTTCCCTCCGTTGCTTCTCTGATAATTTCTGCAAAGTTCGTCTTCTTCTTTCTCAACTAGTGTTTCGTCCATGGCTGATGAGGATGTTGTGCACAGCCTTGATCTTGGAGAGTCATCGAGACACAGTCGCTTGTTCACCAACAAGAAAGTTAATATTGTGCTCAATGAAATGAATTACCTGTTATGGAAACAACAAGTTCTTTTAACAGTAAGAAGTCATCGCCTGGAACGGTTGCTCACTGGGGATCTTAAACCTCCGCCGGCGCAGATTCAGTCCGGAGATGGCACACTTGAAGTTAATGAAGATTACGAGATCTTTGTAGCACAGGATAGTGCCTTAGCCTCCTGGCTGTTATCAACAATCAGCGATCACATTTTGCCTCAGTTCGTTGGTGCAGAAACGGCCACGGATGTATGGTCAACGGTTCTCAAGTTTTTTGCCAATCGATCCACAACGACGGTAATGAGTCTCCACTGCAAGTTGACGTCGATTAAAAAAGGTGATGAAAGTATGCGATCGTATCTTACACAGATCAAAGAAGTTTGTGATGCACTAGCTGCGTGTGGAAGTGCGATTTCAGATTTGGAACAAATAGCCACTATATTGAATGGCTTACCGTTTGATTATCAACCGTTTATGGCGGTTATAACGGCGAGCAAAGAAGCTTTCTCTCTTGATGGAGTAAAGTCTGTGCTAGTTGATGCCGAGGCACAACTTAAGAATTTTCAGCTTCAAACTCAAGTTTCCATGAGTGCAAATGTTGCTCGTGTGCAGAGCAACAATCAAGGCCATGGTCAGTACAATCGACCTTATAGTTTGAGCGGCAGATCTGGTGCACGAACGGGAGCTCGTGGTCGAGGACGTACTAGGCTTCAATGTCAACTATGTGGCAAGACTGGTCACTCAGTGGACAGATGTTGGCATCGCTTTGATCAGAATTTTCCAGGAGTGTTAGCTCAAAAAGACGAATCTAATGCTGTAGATATTAACTCGTGTGAGGTGACTAATTCATACAATAACAATGCGCGTCCTCAGGTTCATATGGTCTCTCCAACCTCAGACATGTGGATTGTAGACTCGGGAGCCACACATCATGTCACCCCCGAGGCTTCTAAAGTAATCGATGGCTCGGACTACACTGGTCCAGGTAAGCTGGTCGTGGGTTATGGTCAAGCTTTAAACATTAGTAAAACTGGAACTGTGATTCTCAATGCTAAGAATCGAGCTTTGTTTATTCATAACTTGCTACATGTTCCATCAGTTACTAAAAACTTACTCTCTGTCTCAAAGTTTGCTAGAGACAATAGTGTCTATTTTGAGTTTCATGCAAAGGAGTGTCTTGTTAAAGATGAAGAAACGGATGTTGTTCTGTTGCAAGGACAAGAGAGTGGTGGACTGTATCAGTTTGTTACCACAGTGGATGATCAACATAATGGTGCAAACGATTTAGAAGCAAATGTAGTTAATAAAGTTTCAAGTGATGTGAAAAGTTCTTATACTTTGTGGCACATGAGACTTGGGCATCCAGCTCATGCATCACTTGTAAAAGCTTTTAAACACATTTGAATTGTTTTCCCTACTACTGAGAGTACTGTAAATGGTGATATGTGTGTTGCATGTAAAATGGGAAAAAGCCATAAGATTCCCTTCAATGAATCCTCTACAGTTTATACAAATCCCTTCCAGCTTGTATTCTAGGATCTGTGGGGGCCCTCGCATATTGTTTCAAACAGCTTTTACTATTATGTTTCGTTTGTTGATGCATACACGAGATATTGCTGGGTATACTTGTTGAAAACCAAGAATCAAGCCTTACATGCTTATCAGTCGTTTCATGAAATGGTCAAAACACAGTTTGGTGCTGTGATTAAAGAAGTGCAAACGGATTGGGGAGGTGAGTATCGTCCTATATCTTCACTGTTGACAAAGCTGGGTGTTCACCATCGGTTGTCTTGCCCACATACTTCAGAACAGAACGGAGTGGTCGAAAGGAAACACCGCCACATCGTTGAATTGGCCCTTGTCTTGATGGCTCAAGCATCCTTGCCGTTTAGATTTTGGTCATATGCAGTAAGCACTGCAGTTCATCTAATCAATCGCCTTCCCACACGAGTTTTGCAAGGAAAGTCACCATTTGAGGAGTTGTATAACAAATTACCAGATTATGGTTTTTTAAAAGTATTCGGGTGTAGGTGTTTTCCTCATCTTCGAGCTTATCAAGGTCATAAACTGAGTTATAGATCACAACCGTGCACCTTCCTTGGATATAGCACACAACATAAAGGATATCAGTGCATGGCGTCTGATGGGAGGATTTACATCTCGAGACATGTCATTTTTGATGAACAGTTTTTTCCTTTTGCAGGTAAACAAAATGTTCAAAACAATGGTCACAACCTTACAAAATTGACCATGCAGCTGCCTGTGGTTAATGGAGCAGGTAGAGTTTGCATGAGAGTAGGTGTGCCACACGAAAGTCAAGAACAACCACCCATCGTGCCTGTGCAACCTGCTACAATGTCTTCAGATGTAGGACAACAAACGTCTAGTTCTAGTCCTACTATGGATCCAACTAGGGACAGTGTGGAGCACTCGAATGAAGTTGAACAAGAGATTATCAATCAATTACCTAAGGACACTAGTTTAACTCAAGGTGAGTTGCAAGGAGTGATGCAAAACACGATTGATGAAGCACAGTCAGCAGCTGCTCCCGTTACTCGACACCCTATGATGACCAGGAGCAAATGTGGGATATTCAAACCAAAGCTCTATTCCATAGCTCATGTCGAGGCTGAGAAGGAACCAAGCTCGATATATGAGGCGTTGCAGTCTCCTCAGTGGAAGACAGCAGTTAATGAGGAGTATGAAGCATTAGAAAGAAATAACACGTGGTCCCTTGTTAGGTTACCTGAAGGGCGGTCTATAGTGGGGTGCAAGTGGATCTTTCGAGTAAAGAAGAATGCAGATGGATCGGTGCAGAGATACAAGGCCAGACTTGTGGCCAAGGGATTCACACAAGTTCCTGGACAGGATTTTCAGGAAACTTTTAGCCCAGTGGTTAAAACCTCTACCGTTAATGTCATGTTAGCACTTGCAGTTCAGAACAATTGGGAAATGAGGCAAGTTGATGTGAATAATGCCTTTTTGAATGGTGAGCTTCATGAGGATGTATTTATGCGGCAACCTCAAGGCTTTGAGAAGGTAGCTCCAGATGGTTCTCAGTTAGTCTGCAAGCTACATAAAGCTTTGTATGGTCTTCGCCAAGCCCCGCGTAACTGGTTTGCAAAATTGAGGAATTATGTGATTAGCATCGGTTTTAAGAGCTCACAAGCTGACAACTCACTGTTTATTAAGCAAGAAGAAGGGCAAGTGATGTACATTCTGGTTTATGTCGATGATATAATCATCACTGGCTGCTCAAAGGATGAGATTGAAAAGGTAGTTGTCTTGTTGAGGAAGTAGTTTTTCCTCAAAGATCTTGGCCAGTTGAACTACTTTCTTGGCGTTGAAGTTAAGCATACAGGTGGTGCTATCTTCCTTAGCCAAAAGAAATACATCATGGAGTTGTTAACCAAGATGCGAATGGATACAACTACTTCAACTCCTACGCCTATGATTTCTTCACTGAAGTTTTTCAAAGATTCGGGTGATGAGATGAACGATGCAAAAGAGTATCGAAGCCTGGTGGGATCACTCTTGTATGCGTGTCATACAAGGCCGGATATTGAATTTAGTGTGAACAAGTTGGCTCAATTCATGCATGCACCCCGGGAACAACACTTTGTTGCAGCAAAACGGATTCTACGATACCTTCGAGGGACTCTTGACTATGGTCTGGTGTTTTCTCCGAGTAATGAGCCAATTCAACTTACAGCATTTGCAGATGCTGATTGGGGAGGTAGTATAGATGACCGACGCTCGATATCTGGATGTTGTGTGTATCTAGGTGGGAATCTTGTCATGTGGAGTTCAAGAAAACAGAAAACGGTGTCAAGGTCCACCACTGAAGTCGAGTATCGAAGCTTAGCAGACGTTACATCAGATGTAACTTGGTTGGATGCGTTGTTAGCAGATATGGGTGTTCGAATGGGAGCCTCACCTGTTATTTGGTGCGATAACTCAAGTGCAATTGCAATGAGTGAAAATCCTGTGTATCATTCAAAAACTAAACACGTTGAACTCGATGTTCATTTCGTTAGAGAAAAGGTTGCAGCTGGGAAGTTGAAGGTCAATTATGTGCCTACTGCACACCAGGTGGCTGATGGGCTAACCAAGGCTCTGCCAAAAGATCGTTTTGCTGAGTTTCGGCAAAGGCTGGGAGTGTTACCGTTTGAAAGCTTGGAGCAGCAGGAAGGATGTTGAAGAGTTGAAGCAGCAGGGAGGATGTTGAGCATATTCTAGAAGTTGCCAACTCAGCATAGTTGGTTATCCAGCTCAGCATGATTAGTTACTAGACTTAACAAACTTAACAAACTCACAAACTCAGCTGCTAATGCTAATCTGTTTCAACATGCTGTATATATATACAATGTAGTGCATTATGAAAAAAAATAATATGGAATAACACTTCTTGAATTACTTCAATACTTTGTTTTTACAACAATGAGTCACATCCTGAATCTTCAATGAATCCAACAAAGTTGTTTATATAGCAACAAATGGATTGTCCGGCTTTCAGGGGTGCCGGCAATACGAAAAGCACTTCAGTTACATGTTTTTACAAGAGGAATACACCTATCATATGTTCTTTGTCAGGGTCCGAGACGTTTTTGTTGCCGAGCACTAAATAATGAGGCAGAGGCATGTTTTAACGAACACTGGTTGGAGTTCAGTTCCTGATCTGTTGTTTTTATCATAAGTTTTATACTTGTTCTTGTCTTCATTCCCAATTCTCAGAACATGGAGGTGGAGTGAGTCTCGGCATTGCCACAAGTGCCTCAACAACTTTCTCCATTCGCATTCCACGGCTACCCTTCACCAAGACAACGTCGTTCATATTCAAGAACTTCAAGATTTTGGGAACAAGATTTTCTGAATCAATTGCATGTACAATTTTCATCTTCTTCATTAAATTCTTATTATCAGCTGCTAAATGAAACCTCTTCCCAGCAACGCCGACTACATCAATACGAGCTCCAAGACAGTAATTCAATATCTCCTCATGATACTCCATCTCAAGTGGACCAAGTCCTAACATGTCTCCAAGAATAGCAACTCTTTTTCCATCACAACCGATCCTTTGCAACATGTCAATGGTTGCTTTCATGCTAACAGGATTTGCATTGTAAACATCATTCACTATTTTGATGCCACTTTTAGCTACAATGAACTCAGATCTCATGCTAACGGGAACGTATCTGGATAAGGATCTTCCAACTTGAGAAAGGGGTACACCGATAGAGGTTACAACTGCTGCTGCTGCACATGCATTGAGAGCCAAATGCAGACCCAAACCAGGAATCACAAACTCCACCCTGGATATGAATTCAATAAGCTATTTGTATATCCAGGGCGTAAATATCTTCAAGTCGTTTATATTTATTTTAAAAACCAAACAAAGAAATATGAGACTTAATGGATGATGAGAAAAGAAACTGAAACTTAGAAAATATCAAAATAAGGATGCAATCCTAGTCATGAAAAGAAGCACAAACAACAGAGTACAAACCTAAACATTCTGCAAATTTCGGTCTTATAAAACGGTTGTTGATAAGGAAGAGTTGAGAAAAAAATTGTAGGGAAAACCAATCACAAGTCATAATTTGACATGGATATCATCTGCATCAAATCAAAAGAAACGTGCAATAGAAGTTCAGGAAGAGGAGCAATTTGGAAACATTCAGCTTATCCAGAGAAAAAGGTGAGCAATTTTTACAATTTATCATACAAATGATTACTAATTTGAGTCCTAGCTCCTACAACCTATTTATCCACTATGGTATACCTCCCCTCTCTTACTTTTTTTCTCCGTTACTTTCCAATACAGTTTGTACGAAACGTTTGAATGTGCTAATGAACAGATTGGAAATTAAAGGACAATCCTTGGCACCAACTGACCATTCACTTCAGTTTTGAAAAGTGGATTTCAGAGCAAGAAAGTAATCTTTCTCATCGAAAGTTCAACCGTAAAATGAGACTACTTGTTTCTTTCATTTAAATTTTATATTAAAAAGAATAAAACAAAAAGTCATGTTTTCCAGAATCAGCTTATCCAAAAGTCGATAAAAAATCTATCGTAAATAGTGGTTTCTGAATTCCATTTAAGCTATGTTTGGATGCGCAGTTAGAGTAAGGAGTTTCAACTGAGAATCACCCGAAATAGTTCAGCAAGGATCTACTCAGTTCCAACGCTCATTGGCCCAAGAGTGCATTATTAAAACCTCATTACTTTAATAATGAGTGAGCCTTACAAGAAACTTCATCTCCATATTTTTCTGCAAGACAACTCGAACACCAAGTCCACCACAAACGCTTTCTGCTGCTACCAGCCGGACATCACACTCCAAACTGCGACCAAAAAGCACCTGTTGCACGGGAAAAAGTCAAATTGCAGGGCCAGGTAATGAATTCAATGTAAATGCACACCAAGATGATAGGCAAAACATAGCAACTCCACAAATGACTAGGAAGATTGACTTCACCGGAGAAAAAGTACAGCTTAGAGAGTCCTAAGACTTAGCCAAACACCTTTTTATCGTGAAACCATTTCAAAGCAGGCTAAATGAACCAAAATTCAGCAAATAATTGGTAGAAGTAGAGGGGAAGAGCCAAAATGTTAGCACCTCATACAGTGCGACTCTTACTTTGAAAGCACAGGACCATGCCAATGCAATAACAAATTCATCACTAATGCAGCACCTAACATATTGCTACATCACAATGTTATATCTTTTCAAATTTCCAATAGTTTAACATGAATAAGATCTGTTGAAATTGAAACGAAAAGAAAAAAAAAGTAGCTTTGTGAATAACACTATTAGCATGATGATATAGGCTTATCTTACCCTTGTAACTCCTGGAGGAACTAGAAGGCTCATGACAAGAGGATCATCAGCATTCAAAACACAAATATCTCTAGGCTTTGCTTCTTCCAAAATCTCCCCTTTAGCCATTGCAATTTCTTCCAAGCTTCCAAGGTTTCCCAAATGAGAAGCCCCCACGTTAAGAATCACTCTAATATCAGGCTTCCCCAGCCTTGCCAATTCCAATATCTCTCCTCTCCGATCCATTCCCATCTCCAAAACTGATATCCCCACATTCCTAGGAATCCCAATCAATGACAAGGCAACCCCTATCCTATTGTTCCAGTTCCCATAACTCTGATAAACTTCACTCCCCAAACTCTCAAGACCCAGAGCTATCATAGTCTTTGTGGTAGTTTTCCCCACACTTCCAGTAACTGCTATAACTTTACCAAGAAGCCTGTTCCTAGCAAATGTTGCCATTTTGAGCAAAGAACTCACGGTGTCGCCATCAATCTGGACGAACCCCATTTTCCAATTCTCGCAAACACGATTTCCAATAACACCGACGCACCCACTTCTGTATAATTCAAGGGTTACAAAATCATGGGCGTCGAAGTTTTCCCCTGCAATGGCAAAGAACCATTGGCCGGGTTCAATGGTTCTGGTATCCGTAGAAATGGTTCCTGGAGGACCCCATTTTACAATCCTACCGTCGACGGCTTGCGCTATGTCGGTGACAGACCAAAGTGGAGAATTTGAAGGAGCACAGAGGGTAATCTGGGGACTGTAGTTGGAAGTGTTTAGGGTGTTTTTCCCGGAAGTAGGTGAAACTAAAAGAACCCTTTCATGAATACCGGTAGTTAATGACTTTGAAAAAGAAGATTTTGTGAAAGAGAAAGTGTTAGGAAATGGGAAAGCGGCCATGGAATTGGCTTCAAAATGTGTCGTCCAAGATTCTATACATTCTGTTAGCTTTAGGATTAAAGGTTCGAAAAGAAAAATGTTCAACTGCTATGAATGGTGTCAACTACCTCGCTAATTATTGTTGCCCTGAAAACGAAAGCATTAAAAGCGGGAAAGAAAAGCTCTCATTTTTATAAATTACATTAAAGAGCAGTGAATTTATTTATGTTTGTTGATGGAATAAATGAGACACTGCTGCAACAAATTATTTATTTATTTTATTTGAAAAGAGAGTTATAATGGATGGTTAGAAGATTGTTCATCAATATTAAATTATATGTCATTAAGGAAGAAAGATGGAAGTAAGGATTTGAAGTATCAGTCTCCTTAATCGATGGATTTTACAATGATTCATAAAATTATTATTATAAATATAATCATTATAATCAATAACGGATGTAGAATTTTATATTATGAGGGTAAAATTTTAAAATTTTAAAATGTAAAAAATTTATAAAAATTAAGGGGCGAGAACATATTTTTAACAAAAGAAACATAAAAAAATCTAAATAATATTATGTTTTAATTTTTTAGAAAAGCAATTGTCCTCACCCGACCTCCCTCGTTCCATCATTGATTATAACTACTTTTATATTGACAATCCTGATTGATATAATCATTTGTCTTTTAATTGATTTTTACTCTAACAAATCACATATTAATTATTGTAGCTCTCGTGGATTCGGTGATAGATCTAAAAATATTTTTATGGTGCGCATATATATATTAATAACAGAATTTTTTTGTATGAAGAGAGCACAAATAAAGTTCCAGGGTAGGAACATTTAGCAAAATAAACAACTAACATAAATAAATTCAGATTTCAAAGTAAGCAGGTGTCCATCCCAAATAATACATACATTCGCCGTTGCATGTGATACTTGTCTCCTATCATATGCTATATGATTTTCAGTAAAGCCTTTGCCTTGTTCCTAATGTAAAACTCCATACACAATGTGATTACGTTTTGAAGAAAGAAAGCGAACGTTACAATATTGGATTGTAAAAGGGTTTGGGTTTTGGTTACAAGAGGAGCCTTTGACACCATACATAGGGTTAAGGGTGGAAATGGAGTGGGTTGCAGTGCACTGCACATTCCTGATTGCCCTCCAGCTTTTTACATCATCAGTAGACTTCTGTTTAAGCGACCAACTAGCAATGGCTTTTGTCAGAGCATCCACTTTTGCAACACTACGACACCACTTCTTTTTCCAAATAGCTGAGATTAGGACCAAACCCCAACTTTGTATCTCCCTTTTCTCATCTCTCTCATTACATGGAAATGGAGGTAATTATGAGATATACAAGAGGTAAAACCAATCGCCCTGACTCTTTTGATGGTTTTGGTCCGTCACAGACAATTTATAAGCTTTATACCGTAAAAGGGAAAGAGACTCGTCCTTGGCTTTTCAAGTGTAATTTTCATTTTTACTGTAATGGCGTTGTCATTGTATTACATTTTCAGGTTAAAACTTAAAAGTGAGACATTTGTCACTTTTACCACTTTCATCGTATGCCCGGCTGTCTGAGCGCATTCGGCATTCGACATGTCTTTTTGGGGTCGACTCTGATTTGAACTAAATTATCATCCCCGAAGTTAATTAACTACTACTCCAAAATTCTTTATACTTGTCTCATCATTTTAAATATCGTGTTGATAGGTAAGAAAAATCACATTTTCCTTTAAAAAACAGTTGTTTCGTGTTGATGATAATACAGAGATTGTAATGGTCGTAAATGGTTCATTTTTTTATTTAGGTAAAGAATTATATTCGACAAATGATTGATGTTTGAATCTTCTATTTTTTTAAAAGGAGAGAGAGAGAGAGAAAAAGAAATAAAAATAATGATTTCAAATTAACTTTATAATAACTCTTAATGCTAACTACATATAATTATGATAACTATAATTTGACAGACCATAATTGATAATTGATATCGCACATACTTATCAAAAATCATATTAAAAAGTTATGATTTCTCGATAAATGTAAAATACCTGAGATTTTATTCATTAAGATGTTCTCTCAAAATTTTTAATTTACGAAGAAGATACAAAGATGATACAACATTTCTAATTTTAAAAAATCTAACTTTATTTAAGAGAGAGAGAGAGAGAGAGTTTAAAGGCATAAGGGAAAGCTCAACAACTTGCAGGGTGATGAACACAACAGATGTCAGGCAAATTAAATGCCAACCTAAGTGTTGCTGTCATTGCAGAATTATTATTAGGCAGAAGCATGATATTTTGTGAGCTAAAAAGAAAAAACACAACCTCACCCTAATTAATTACACAGCTAATCAATGCTTATTCTTTTTCAACCTAAACATAACCATTGAAGGTGGTGGAAGGGAGAGAATGAGAAGAAATAAATGCGAAGTACAAAAGATAATGGACATAATGGACAAAAGGGTGGGATTTGGCCTCATGTAGCTTCAACATCACTCTTCAATAAAGTCGGGAATTTTAGATCCCCAAAAGAATTTTTACATAGTATTAGGGGTGTAAAAGAGTTGAGTTCATTCAACCTGAGTATTTATCGAGTCTTTAACGAGTCGATTTCGTGTAGTTCGATATCTGTTTTTTCTCATTTACAACCCTACCTAGTATTACTATAATGTTTCTTGGCTGTACTTTTGTAAGGTAAAAAACATACAAATCTATTCAACAACGCATGCTCTTTTTTATTTTTATTTTGGGTTCTAATTCCATGGTTTAGGTTTTTAATGATTTATCTAAGAATGTAAACGATTCGAGTTAAGTTTGAATATTGTTGAGTCTGATCCGACTTGAAAAGTTTAAAACTGAGATTGACTCGACTCGAATGCTTGAGAGTTTAAAATTTTCAAGCTTCATTTGAGCTCGAACATAAACCTTAAGCATATGAACACCTTATATTGTATTTAAAAAAATAACATATAAATAATAATATTATTAATAATTTTAAAAAATAATATATTATTTTTTTGAATTGCTAACAAGCTTTTCTAATCCGATATCAAGTAATTTGTTTCAACTTGTTAAAAACTCGAATCGAGTTCGAGTTCATTCAATTAAAGTGTTGAACTAGTTTTGATCGAGATCTCAAGTAGTTCACAACACCGATGAATCCAAAAATTCAAAAAATTAAAGTCGAAAATTTTAATAATCTTTATTTCTATAAATGGATATGCATTTTTTTAAATTTTTTGTTAATTTTTTAATATATTGAATTATATTTAATAATTTAACTAAAATAATGACTATGCATTCAATCCCTAAAAAGCCAAATACATCCGCACCGACTCTTAATCAATTTCATCTCATTTATGAGAAATTATATCGTGCGGTAGTCTTAATATACAGTTAAAGAAATACTTACCGGTTTTGTTATTATTTCTTTAACAAAATCAATAAAAAAATTATCTAAAATATTATTATTTTTACCTAAAATATTAATATTTTTTAATATTTTCGGTAAAATGTCAAATAATAACAAAAATCAGTAGTATTTTATCAGATATGTTAATAAAATCGATAAAATATTCAATAATAATAAAATCGATAAAAATAATAATATTCTTGATAAATTTTTATTGATTTTATTAAATAATAATAATAAAACTAATAATCTTTTTTTTAACGATATATTAAGACGGTTGAAATTCTTTCCCTCATTTACCGTACTAGATTCACCATTGAATTATTGAGAAAAGGCAAAAAGCCAACAGCTAAGTAAATATTTAGAAAGTGAGGGAAGTACAAATGAAAGGATAGAAAATCTCATCATCTGTCCATCAAAACCCCTAAAAGGATAGAAGAATACTCAATAGCCCTATGGGTATCTTGCTTTACGGACTCTGTATTACAGCAGCTAGTCAAAGCTCTTGTTGTCACCTTGATTCAATTCAAAACCCCATTTCATTTCTCAAGTCATTACCCCCATGTGATGTGAGTGACCAACCCATCATCTTTCTTTATCTTTCTTTGCCACACATAACATTAGGCACGGAGACAGACAGATATGCAGCGCCGAAGGCTTTCTTGGCAGCGATAGGACAGTAGATTAGAGAGAAAGAGAGATGACTTTTTTGTTTCTGCCTCGATTACTGCTCCAACACGACCTGCACTTGACTTTTGACAAGCTATAACTGGTCCCAAAACATAGCAGCTTCTACAATACACTACTTAGCCTTGTGTGTAAGGATGGCAACTCAATCCGAATCCGATGGGTTTCGATTAGATCTGACTAGATCGGGTCGGATTTTTTAAAAAAAAATTCGGGTTCGGGTCGTGTTTTTTTTAAATGTACTTTTCGGGTCGGGTCGGGTCTGGTTTAGGGTGAAAAAAATCCGATCCGACCCGACCCGAAAAATATATATAATATTATCCTATATATTTAGCGATAATTACAATAATGTCCCTCCATATATAATTTTTATAAATTAAGTCACTGTTTTCATTGAATAAATTTTTTTTTATTATTATTTCGGGTCAGGTCGGGTCGGGTTTCTAAGTCATATATTCGGGTGGGGTCGGGTCGGGTGAAACCTTAATTTCGTCGGGTCGGGTCGGGTCACGGGTGAAAAACCCTTTCTTCTCGGGTCGGGTGGCCCAAAAACCCGACCCGACCCGACCCATTGCCATCCCTACTTGTGTGTGTGCTCAATGCTTGGCGATTTGACCTAATTAACGCGTGTTTTTTTGAAATTCTCCGGTTTTAACACTTGTTGAACAATATTTTTTGAAGTAGCACCTTTCGATTAATTTAAATTTATGTTGAGTCGGACGCCACGTGTGAAAGTCGCATCTCTGGGAATGCGTTTTATATGGGTTCTACTGAATCTGATGCCATTTTGATATTTCTTTTAATAATAAATATTTTATTTTTATTATTATTATAAATAATTAATATATTATATAAAGTGTTTCGATTATAATTTAAAAATTATCGAATGTATTTTTTAAATGTGTGTTAAAGGTAGAGCGAATTTAGGTTTTAGTGTTATATGTTTCAGGGACTTTGATATTCACCCATTCCACGCGACATTAATC